GCTTAAGGATCCCATCCCTCAGCTGGCTAGCTTTGCCGAGGCCCCGGAACGAACCCTGCCTGCTGAGTGCGATGCGCGTGCCTAAACCCTAAACCCTAGACCACGACTACGATTATCCTCATTATTTCTATCAGTATTTCTAGTATCATTATTTCTATACTCATGACGGTGATTACTATCAGTACTCTTTTACAGTTACTACTGTGATCACTATCATGTCTGCCTCTGCTTTGGCTCGGAGCCTAACTTTTTCTTCCCAGCCCCTCCCTGGTTCAGCAAAGAACCTTGAGCTGTGCCACTTGGCCTTAGGGTTTGGGGTGGTAGGGGGTTTAGGGTTTTGGGGCTTCAGTTTTTTGGTGTTTTAGGCTGCAGCTGTGAATGTGGGGTAGCTGTATTTTGGTTCACTCTCACATGAACGGCACGCCAGGGGGTTCTTGCTTGGGAGCGTTACGAGGAGACCATGAACCACATTTTAAGGAATTCAGCAGGGGGTCCCATGGAAGGGGGACCCACAACTGAGTCCCCAAGGCTTCCAGAGGTCCCATATTTATGGCTACTGACATGGGGCTCCCCTTAAATGGGGTGCCCTTAGGGACTTGCTTGAATATTTTTTTACAAAGGCAAAGGAGCAGACAAAATCTTCAGACGGCCACCTGAACCCAGAGGTTGAGCAAGTGTGGTTTGGGTTTGGAGGACCCCCCACCCTGTAATAGTGGCATGATAGGAATATAAGAGCACCCACTGCAATATAATCCTTCTTATCCCTTATAGTATTATTGCCTCCACCTAAGGTTAAGGGTTTAGAGTTTCCAAAGTGCAAGGGCATGCCAGGTCTCGTGCAGCTTAGTTTAGACCCAGTTGGGGGTTTCCCAAAATTTCGAGTACTTTTGGGCATCTCTATGATCAGGGCCATAGTATTTGGGGATCTAGATTGGAATCCCCCCTATTCAGGGAAACCACCACTCATCTCACGTGCTTTGTCACGCTTTGTTGTGCTGATTTGAGCTGGGCGCAGCTCTCATCTTATATCCAGAAGTTGTAGGCAGGCGTCAGGGACTGTATATGGGAGTTTCCCAAAATTAGGGGTACCATTTTGGGGGTCCCTAAAATAAAGACCAGACTATTTTGGGGTTTGTATTGAGACCCCCTTCATGAGGAAAACTACATAATCTGGGGATCTCTCTCTCATTGTGTGCTTTGACTAGTAAAGTGCCCTATTGTGTTATTCTACTACGGCCTGTGTGGGATCCCTGGCAGGGATTGGCAATGGCGTGCGCCGGAGGCTGGGCCAAAGTGTCCTGGGCCCAATAGAAATGACAGCCGGCTTATGTAGACCACAATACGCCATATTCCATGAGTATAGGGACATCCACAAAGGGATCCCTAAATAAGGAATCGCTAATGTACGGAAACACCCAAAGGTACAGGAAGTAGGTGGATGGGTTGCGCCGCACTAAGCGCTTGTCCCCCCTTAGCTCGCCTCAGCTGTCAGCTGCCTGCAAATAAGAGACCTCTACCTGGAAACAGCAAAGGCCCATGCCCGAAAGGTCTTCCGTTCCCAAACATCGTGAAGCCAACGCCAATGTTGCTGGATCCCAGCAAGCTCTGGCGCATTGCCCTCTATGGCGAAAAGTCAGGAGCTATTGGTTTTTCATGTTCCGGGCCCACAGAAATGCTGGACAAGTCTCATGTGCACGGGCTAAAGCTTCAATGTTTGTCAAGATGTGCTCCGAGCTTGCAAAGAGGAATTCGCTCTTTCCACAATGGTATCAGGTGGTATCCAGTTTGGAGAGCCTTCAATTACAAATCGCGACTCCTAATTACGAATATGGTAGTCTTTCAAAATGAGGATTCCCCAGACCCCAATATACTAAAGCTATTAAAGTCCTTATTAATTGGTACCCCTAATTTTAGGAAACCCTTCAATTTATGTTCAGCAGACCCTGCCTTTCACTGCGACCCAGCCTTCATGGCAGGGATGGCGGAAATAGACTCGCAGCTGGTCCCTGCAAAGAGGCGCCGTGTGACCAAGGCGTGCCTGGAGTTCAACATAACTTACTTATAGAGGGTTTAGGGGTTAAAGTTAGTAGGGAATAAGGGAATCTACTTTTATAGCGGTTAGGGTTTAGGGTTAGTAGGGAATGAGAGAATATGTCATTATAGTGATCAGGCTTGAGGGTTTAGGGTTAGTAGGGAATACGGGAATATACGATTGTAGGGATTAGGGCTCAGGCTTTACCGTTGGTGCTATCACACATATTCCTGCTGAGAGGGGTTGGTTGAGAATTGTTGGATTTAGGGTTTACTAGGACCAGAATAGAAGCCTGCTGAACCAATCGTTCATGTCCATTGTGAAGAACCGCCCCTGAGGCCCTGCCGTAAAATTTCAATGTTCGTCACTGTATCACGAATAGAGGTTTTCAATTACAGGGAGTGGGAATGCTCTCATATGCGGGAAAAGATGAAAGGTCAATCTGTGGCATCAGGCCTTCATAATAAACCCCAAAAGACAACGTTTGGAACCATGTTTTGGAACCTTCCCAGCCTGTGTTGACGCAATTTGTCATTGCTTGCCTTTTGGGGAAGCATGATCTGTCATTGCTTCAGAACCAAAGTGATGAGGGTGGAAACCAAAGTGATGAGGGTGGGCCATATTGCCTATTCTTATGCAGTTTCCACAACTCGTTCGGGATCTGTAATCCTTCGATGGAGCCGAAAGACCCTCAAAGTCTTTAAGCATATCAGTGTTGACGCTTTTCATGTGATGCTTTTGATGTTGGCTGTTGGGTGACATATGTACTGCTACCCAGTTGTCATTATAGCCATTATAGCTGCTCTACGCTGAAGTCATAAAGATTGTTCATGGAAAGGGCAGGTAACCGTTCTAGTCCTCTCTGGGGAGAAGGGACAGAACGAGTAGCGAAACTCCCTTGGTTTCAAAAAAATCTGCCCAAGGACGACTAGAAGCCAGATGGAGGGCACAGTGCAGCCAAGCACTACCAATTCCTCCAAATACACATTACATATCGGTTGTATAGGGCTTATATAGGGGTATATGGGGATAACGGAAAATACTATGGAAACTATGGTTTAGGATTTAGTCTGCCTGTCCCTCGTGCTAGACACTCTAGTGGGGCCTTGCCATTCTCACTCAACCAAACTGAAGTGCACATGAAACCGGCACGTGTCATGTTTTCACTTCCTGAGTGTATTGTGCTCATGGTGGCCCACGTGTTGCTGGACACCATTGGAGTAATTGCAGTGCCTTTTCTCAACTAAGCTCCAAGATTTCAAAGTTGAACATTCCGCTGAATAGAGCGACGATGAACTGAGGCCTTGAGCAGGGAAGACTTGGTCAATGCGATTTGTTAAAAAGATATGCGATTTGTTAAAAAGATGCGCTGCCCTTGTATGTTTACAACAAAGCACCATCCCCGTTATAAGGATCCCAAAGTCGCACTCATCCGAAAAACATGACGCCCCAAACAGCCTGGCACATTCCCCCACCATGGAAAGAGACTTCTAGGAAAGAGTCCTACATATCCCTAATACCACCCCACATTTCACATGGGCCACGCATTGGCAAGAGTCTTCCAGGAAAGGACAGAGCTCGAGGTGCTACTGGCTGAGGAAGTGAGCCCGCCTGTGCCGCAGCTGCAATGGGTTGGTGATGTCGGAATACTAGAAGGTCCATGAGAAAGGATTGTGTAGCTAAATGAGTAGCCCGGTTTGTAGGTAGGGGCCGCGGTCATGCTATTGGTATGCTTTACGAACATTATGGCCTACGCAGTAAACATACAAACTGCAAGATGTCGAAGGAGATCATGTGGCTTTGTTGACATCAGTATCCAAGGTCAAAGATCAGGAAAACGATATGGGGTCCGAGGGTTCGAAATAGTGCTGGAAGCTAAGACCATAAACAAAAGGCATGGCTCATATCTGGGTCTCGTCGTGGAAATTTCAGGGATGGTGTTGAATTACATGGGTTGCAGTTTGGGGTCAGGCTTACGGGTTCTTCGGCCGAAGGATTGCTTGCTTGCTTTTGACGAGCTTTGGCGGCTGTGAAGGAAATTGCAGTTTGTATCTGTGTATCAGGGAGACATGAGGCTCAAGCTGGCACCTGGCACCGCAGCTTCTACGCACCAGGCGCTGCTCGTACTGAAGTCCTCGCACAATGTCTCCCGCAGCTTCTCTTCCTGATCCTCTTGAATGCCATCTCGATCAAGTTCGCGCCTGCCTGATGCCAACTGACGCGGAGACACGGGCCACCCAGGACGTGATAGATCGCCTGACTCATAGAATCCAAGCCTGCATACGGCCGGAGAAAATGTACGTTGGTGGCTCATTCAGGAAGAAGACCTGCCTTGCTGGCGACTTCGATGTGGACATGGTCGTGTTCCTTCAGAACTTCGATGACAAGGCCGTAGAGAAGTGCAAAGCAAGCTTGCAGAATGCCATGCAAGGGCCGCAGGATCGAGTAGTCAAAGTCGGCAAGCACATTTTGAAGCTCCATTGCGCGATGAACTTCAATGGCCGCAACCTTTTGCCTGTGGATATCTCATTTACGGGATCTGCAGCATTGAGTGCGAAGGAGGGGTTCCAGAAATTAGTGGACATACCGGTATACTGAATCGTATGGAGGGTTCGCAAAACCAGGCTTTACCTAGATGCTCGCATCAGCTATCAGCCCTGTGCACTTACCAGCTGGGCAAAAGTTTTCGAACTTCCCAACAGACATGAAGCCTTCATGGCCCCTGTCGATCTACAGCACCGTGTGCCGTTCGCAAGACAGCCTTAAGCCAGACCCTAAACGCAACAAGGAAAGGCAGTAGAAGGCCGGCGACATATTTGGGGGCCTTGCAAAAGTGATTCGAAGACTATTGCACCCTGTAGCATTCAGCACGGACGCATGCCCCCCGCAGTATTAGATTGTGACAGCTGGTGCCATAGCGAGGGCAGTCTTCAGAAGCATATTGTGAACTTTGAGAGGCCCTGCTCCCATGCTGATGAGTTTGGCGTTCTCTGATTTTCAACTTTCACATGTTTCGGTTGAAGCCAAAACTGTGGTAGAAATTCTACCCATACTCAACCAGGACACATCAGCTCGCCAGCCTATTTCTCTGGCGGTGAGGGCGTTCCACTCTCCAACCAATGACGATTCAGTTATTCGGCTTTTGGACCAGCATGCAGGTCTGCATGTTCGGGAGCTCATCATACTCACAAAGCACTGGAGGAAGTCGCTTGCCGATGATTCGCTGACATGGCTCAAATCAGCGCACATCGAGTTTGCCTGTCTTCAAGCAGTCAGCGATGTGGCCCCGGGTCAGGGATTTCGAATGACTTTTGGCCGCGTATTGACTTTGATTTCCCGGGGGCTGGAGAACTCTGACTTGGCCCAGGTGCTGGCTGTCAAGGACTCCTACATGGATATACCTGACAAGGTGGTTGAAGCCGTGAGAGTTCATGCAAAGAAGGCCTTGAGCAAGATGGGGTTGAAGGTCAAAGAGGGCGAGACCTTCCTCTTCGTGAAGCCATCAGAAATCCGCTTCACGCAAGCCAAATGCAGCCCAAACTTCAGAGACGGACGATCCATGTCGGAAACGTACCGGCAGCTGCTAGCTGGCTCCATCGAAAAACGTGATGTAGACATGCTCCGAGTGGTAGAATACAATAAAGATGGTCACATGTACAGTGTGGACAATCGTCGCTTGGCAGTCTTCCGATTGCTAGAACAAAATGGCCACACCAAGATCGTGAAGGTAAGAGTCCTTGCCCGCAGCGAGCTCTACCGAGATGAGTGGAAGAAGAAGTTTACATTGCGGTCGGGAACAGTGG